CACAATACAAATGCTCAAAAAAATATTTGTGAAGTCAATGAGCAGATGGCATGCCTTTAACACTAGAAAAGAGATTTATTATTACTGTTGTCAAAAAGAAAGAAGTGTTGGCAACTACCTCTCATCTACCCTCCCTCTTTTAGTAGGATATTCTCTGAGTCTATTTTTCTTATCAGGACTGAAATGCCTAACAGGAAATGTGGTTGCAGTGGCTCTTCCTGGATTCTGACTCCATTTGCAGTCCCTGCCCTGCCTCTTGAAGAAAATCTGGGCAAAAGGATTCTGTCTCAGGGCATCATCGGTGCAGCGTAAAGATGATGAAGTCCACAATTGTTCCGCTGTGATTCAGGTCAGATGCCCTCTGAGAAAATCTTGAACTTTAGAATTCTTAAAGCCTTTTTCTTTTTGGAGAAAAGAATATATTCTTTGCAATTATCTAAGCAAAAAGAGAGAATGAATGCTGACAGTCTCTATTGTTGTTAGAAAAATAAGCAGAAAGATCATTTTAAATCTATAATTGCCAGAAATATCAACTCTCCTCTGCATAGCATCAGATAATAAGTATTTTATTATGTATTATGTATGTAGTATGTGTGTATATTTTATACATAGATACGTGTGTACATACCTAAAAAACAATAACAGATATAAGTCATGGACTGAGTATCAAATCAAAGTGACAATTTTAAGTGCTTGTATATTCTTCACTATAAGGATAGACATGTTATAATTTGATTATCTCTCTTTTTTAAAAAAATTATTTATTTAGTTCACAGACCAATCACAAGTAGGCAGAGAGGCAGGCAGAGAGAGAGAGGAGGAGGACACAGGCTCCCCGATGAGCAGAGAGCCCAATGAGGGGCTTGATCCCAGGACCCTGGGATCATGACCTGAGCCGAAGACAGAGGCTTTAACCCACTGAGCCACCCAGGCACCATATCTCTTTTTTTTTTTTTAAGTTACTCTCAGCTGATATTTTTTTAAAAATGTTTATTTTTAATTAACCTCTATAGTCAGCATGGGGCTTGAACTCACAACCCTGAGATCAAGAGTCACAACCCTGAGATCAAGAGTCACATGCTCTACTGAGCCAGCCAGGCACCCCTACAGTTTGATACTTACATGGCCAACAAATTCTCTAACTTTAGATGCTATGAATATATACTTTGATAAACATTGACCAACAAAGCTATACTTAAATCACCTTAAGGATCTTTCTCCATAAAGAAAAAGAAAAAAGTTGGGAGGGGGGAGAGGATGGGAATAGGGGTAAAAGTCATCTTATCTTGCAGATTTGCAGGATAAAAGGATATTATTTATAGTGGTGATGTATTCTTTGGAATTTGAAGGCAAAAATGTTATATGGAAGAACTTTTCTGAACTTTCTGGGCAACTGGCATAGTATGCATTCAGTCTCTTTTGCAACTTCCTTGAAAACCTATTTACTTTGTTAAAGCAAAGTCTTTTTGTTGTTATTTTAGAAAGTTTAAGAGCCAATCAAGGGAATTATAAGATCATTTTTTGCATTATATGGCTATTAATTTATTGAGAGAGAAAAGGGATGTTCTAGATATATTGAAGTCCCATGTAATTAATTTGCTTCAAAGCTTACTTCAAGGAAGTGAACTAGAGTGAACCCAAACTGTAAACTTAGATAGCAAAATGAATGACATAAGTAGGAAAAAAGATAGGGGACTTGTTCCCAGCTCTGACGAGATAATTGAAAGACTGTCCTCTTACTGTAAATAATGGGACAAAATGTGTTGAGCTATTATCTTCAGAAACTGGGCAATAAATAGTGGAGGACTATGATCCCTGGTAAAAGGAAAACAAATGAGGTGAACCATAGAACCCCTCTGACCTCCTTAGAGACATCTTCCAGACTGCAGCCCAGGAAGGAGATTCTAAGCAAAGCACAGAATTTTCTCCAAGTCGAGGAGACCAAGCAGAGTTTGTTGGCGGGGGTGGGGGGATGGGGGGTGGTGGTGCTGGAATATGTGAGGCTGAGTGCCAGGGAGGAGGGAACTCTGGAGCTATAGTGCCTCAGAAATGTACACGGGGTTCCCTTCAGTTTGTCCTCAAATCCCCAGTCACGGATGTGGATGATCAACTTCTTTGAAGTCAGGCAAAGCCTGGCCAGAGCCTATCACTAAACACTGAGCCACACATGCATGGGATAAATGTGAGCTGAGGCAAAACATAACTAGAGAAATAGATGCTAAAAAGTTGCCTGAGCTCATCCAGAGCTGGGGGATGTTTTGAACAGCCAGAAAGCAGAGTCCTCATTCGGCCTTTTCAGTAGAAACTCCAGAGCATTTTGCCTCATATTATGGCAAAACCAGCCTACTCTAGACTTGCCCTAACAAGGCTTAAAAACAAGTCTTGAAAAATCAGACTGATGCATCCATAACTTCCTGTCAGATCAAAGTCCAACAGTATTTAAAGGAAACAAAGAAATCTAGTACTCAACATACATAGTTGACAAGGCCCAGCACCCAATGCAAAATTACTAGGCATGTAAAGATGGAAAATATGACCCACAACTCTGGTAGAAATCAACAACAGTAGCAGGACTCAGTGATGACTCTCAATGACCATCACCTCCTGATGGTCATGCCCTTTAGTCTTCTTGCACATTGTGTTAGCATGGGTTGCTATGGCCAGTAGAGTGCATTAGCGGTGCCCCTGTGTGACATTCTAGACTAGGACAAGAGGACAGTTGGATCCCTTGTTCTGGAAGAAGCCAGCAGCTACACCATGAGCAGCCCCGTAATGAGGCTTAGGTGGAGAGGAACTGAGACTTGCCATCCCCATGAGTTAGCCACCTTGAAAATGAATCTTCTTCCCGCTCCAGTCAAGCCTTCAGATACGTGCATCCCCAGCTGACATCTGACTAAATCTCACGAGAACTGCGAGACAGTACACCCAATCAAAGCCACTCCCCAATTCCTTAACCACAGAAAATATGAAAGACAGTAAATGTGATTACTGGTTTATGCCACTGAGTTTTGGGCTAATTTCTTAGGGAACAATAGAGAGTTAATATAGACATTGGTACTGTCACTCTAATAAAACCCCCCAAATCTAGGAGTGACTTTGGGACTGAGAAAGTAGGGAAAAGCTAGAACATCTTAAGGAGACTTTTAATGAAAGGCCAAAGGCCTTGGAGCTACTACTAACAACCTTGTGGCCCTTGAGGAGGCTGCCACAGAGGCGGAAAGTGAGGAGAATATGATTGTGGAGACTGGTGAAAAGAGAGTCCCTGTTACACGGTGGCCAAAAGTTGAGAGGCATGGTCGATGCCATGATACTGTGGTATCGGGAACTAGAGAAGGCCCCGAGTCCGCCGGATGATTAAACTAAGAATCTTTGGGGGCAGGATGTTGCAGGTGCCATCTGGCTTCCTTTTGCAGTTTGTTGCACAGCGTAAAGAAGAGGGAAAGAGAAGTTAAAGGAAAATTTAAACACGAGGGAACTGCTAGTGTGAAAGTGCCCCATCTCTTCAAATAGCAGATAAGGCTAAAATGAAGAAATGGCTCTAGGAAAAGATCAAGTCCAAAGAACTGTTAGGAAAGCATGGTCTCAAGATGAAACCAGTCATGGAGGGGAGTGACGTCATCAAGATGGCAACACAATGGCTCCCAAATGCAGCCCTCCTCCCGAGAACAACTAGCGACTGTCCATAGGCAAGACACCACTTGAAAATCCAGGACGTGGGGACAGGATTGAAGCACCCGCTTCCCCCCGGAACACAGAGACTGAAAAGGGATTGCATTAGAAGGGTAAGAAGAGCAGTTACACTCCGATGGCATCACCCATCCACAGGCCAGCACCGGGATGCGCTGAGAGGCAGCCCTCTTCTTCCCCTCCCCTCAGGCTGATGGTT